AACGCCGCGCGCTAAAAATAGCAGCAGCTCGGTTTGATTTCTGAAAGCTGAATGACTACTTACGTTACAGTAGGAAATGATGTCACGGGGAGAGATGAAAACGAAAAGACTGTAGTATGGAGAAAGGCAATAGAAAACAGGATTAAGTAAGATGGCGATTGGTGCTGCATTTAAGTTTTTGAAGATCCTGGGTGAATGATAAGTAAGAAACCGAAAGAAAGTTCCACAGGTGAGAAAAGAAATTATTTGAATAGAACTTACGGTTGCATCTAGATATTTCAACAATTTAAAAGATGACACCTGCTTACTAAACTATTTGTAGGTTTCAATTCATGCGACTGAGAGCTCATTAAAACAATTGCCATGAACTTACTTCGATAAACGACTGACGGAAACTACGTCACGTAGTAGCCGTGATGCCAGATCATGACCGATAACATTGCAAACTATATCACAGGCGCACCAGATAAGACATAGCGGCAATATATCCAATGCTCGGAAGAATAGTAAATTTATAAATGGGAACGAGGGATTCCTAGCAGCAGACTTAAGAAGTGATTTAATATAACCACCGACATTTTATGTTAGTATTAGGTTGGTGCAAAAATAATGACGTAAGAATGTCGTTTTTTGACGTAGAAAAGTACATCAAAAAACGACATTATTACGTCATTATTTTTGCACCAACCTAATAGATTACCTGAACTCGTTAAGGTAGAATGATTTTGCAGTCCTGGAGGATTGCATATGATATTTACTTTTTAAATGACCTTTTTCTCTCAACAGTAGTAAATAGGTTCGTCCAGCTCAAACCCCTCTACAGTCTTTTGAATGTCACACAAGGTCTATCTCTGGTTTCATGTTTAGGATCGGCTTTCCGGTTCCTTCTAAAGTCTACTTCAACTCTATACTTCTTAATTCGCCGCCTAAAATTCTGACCTTTTATTTACGATTGAGTGACCTTTTCTTTTCTCATTTGCAGTAAATAGGTTCACCTATCGTCCGGTTCACTCTTCTCTGTGGTCTTTTGAACAGGAGTAGACTCTTATCCCCTGTTTCCTGATTAGGATCGGCTTTCCGGTTCCTTCTAAAGTCTACTTCAACTCTATACTTCTAACGTATCCGCCTAAAACTTTGACCTTTTATTTACTATTAAATGACCTTTTCCTTTCTCAGTAGGAGTAGATAGGTTCACCTGTCGTCTACTTTCTCCAGGTCTTTTGAACAGGAGTAGACTCTTATCTCCGCTTCCCTGTTTAAGATCGGGTTTCCGATTCTTTCTAAAATCTACTTCAACTCTATACTTCTAACGTCTCCGCCTAAAACTCTGACCATTTATTTACTATTGAATGACCTTTTCTTTTCTCAATAGGAGTAGATAGGTTCACCTGTCGTCCGGTTCACCCTCCTCTGTGGTCTTTTGGACAGGAGTAGACTCTAATCCCCTCTTCACTGTTTAGGCTTGGTTTTCCGATTCCTTCTAAAATCTACTTCAACTCTATACTTCTAAATTCGCCGCCTAAATCTCTGGCCTTTTATTTACGATTGAATGACCTTTTCTTTTCTCATTTGCAGTAAATAGGTTCACCTATCGTCCGGTTCACCCTCCTCTGTGGTCTTTTGAACAGGAGTAGACTCTTATCCCTTGTTCCCTGTTTGGGATTGGCTTCCCGGTTTATAAATTTATTTTATAATATCAACAATATTATTGGCCCTGATCTGGCACCTCGGCTTCAGTCACTTTCCCATCGCCTTAAAGTTGCTTCCCTGTGCCTTTTCTATAAACACTTTCATGGTAATTGGTTGGATGAGCTCTTCGCTATAATACCCAGAGCTTATGAATTTAAGCGTGTGTATGAGTGTACGAGGCATATATTGTTTAGTATGCGTGTATCAGGCTTGTCGCTCTGTGTCGCCTTTTCTTTTCATTTTTTTTTCTCTAACTGCACCTTGCTGTCAGGCTTGGGTTTCTTCGTCTCCGTTTTACATTTTTTTTCTATGTTTTTTGATACCCTGATCGAGAGCTACCTACAGAACTTCTGAGATTACGACGATCTACACGTTGTGATAACAACAAGGATACTAGTTCGACTGTAAATAATGTAAGATGGGGAACTATTTGAGAAACAAACCCATTAAAACTGAACGACTGGGCTACTTGACCAGCATCCCAAACCGTGTATATATTAGGTTGGTGCAAAAATAATGACGTAATAATGTCGTTTTTTTACGTATTCTACGTTAAAAAACGACATTTTAACGTCATTATTTTTGCACCAACCTAATATTATTGTATATATGTATGAGTGTACGAGTGTTAATATTGGTTATTATGTGTGTGTCAGGCTTGTCTCTCGGTGTCGCCATTTCTTTTTTTCTTACTGCAGCTTATTCTCAATGTCGTGTTTTTTCTTTTCCTCGTCGTATTTCTTTTCTTCTTTTTCTTTTTTTTCTTTACACCCGGATCGAGCGATACCTGAAGGATGCCGGAGGAGACGACGTCCGAAATGTTATGATAATGACAAAGATATTATAACGGTTGTAAATAAATCAAATATGGTTTATTTTGTGGGGAAACAGTTCGAGGGCCGAACAAAGAACGTTAGGGTTTGGATCATGTGACCAGTGTTGACCAAATTGTGCGTGTCTGCTCTTGCTGTCAAGCGGAGGTTTCTCACTCGCCGTATTTCATATTTTTTTTCTGTTTTTTGATAGCCAGATCGAGAAATACTTAAAGAATGAACAACAAGGATGTAAGTAAACTGTAAATAATGTAAATAAAATGAGGAAACATTTGAGAAATAAACTATTAACGCTGAATGACCTGTGTACTTGACCAGAACTCCCATATCTCTGTGCGTGTGAATGAGTGTCCGAGCGTTATATCGGTTAGTATGTGTGTGTTAGGCTTGTCTCTATGCGTCGACTTTTCTTTTTCTAACTTCAGCTTGCTGTCAAGCTTATATTCCTTCCACTCCGTTTTTCATTTATCTAATTTTTTTTTCCTGTTTTTTTGTTCCCTAACACTATCACCCCAGCCCCTCAACCTCCGACGTCTTACTCTCTGGGTTGAGGTGTCTACTCGGTCCTAACCGAACTTAAGGGAGTAGCCGTAGGTCCCCTGAGCCTCCGTAGATCATTCGACCGGTCCACTGGTTTAATCCTGCCTTCTGCCCACGTTGTGTTTGGGTTGATCCAGAAAGCAGAATTGACGTTCATCCATTCACGGCCGACTGAAGATGTAGACACGGCTGGGGAGTCTGCGCTAAGAAATTCAGAATGCAGCAAAAAAAAAAAATAATAATAATATTTGCAGAAAGCCGGACAAACAACTATTCAATGAATGAACTGTTAATGTCTTTTATATAGCAGAAAAGAATAATATAGAAAAGAAAATAGGTTACAGAAAAGAAAAGTAATTGACTTAAAAACGCATACACTGGATTCTGGACACAGAGAGAGAGAGAGAGAGAGAGAGAGAGAGAGAGAGAGAGAATGTGTGTGTTATGATTAACTTGTTGTTAAATCGTCTCCGAACGATATACGACTCTTGCGATGGTCGAATAAGATTTCTTTGTGCGGCTTAAAGTTTATAGTGGCGTTCCTCCTTAGCAGTAGTAACAGTAGTAGTAATATTCGTGGTAGCAGAAGCAGCGGTACTTATATCAACAGTACATGTTAGCGGACGCTTCCTTCCAATCTCTGACGTCACGTTTTTTCCTTCTTGAGTCTCCAACTCGTCTCTCCATTGTCTCTAGCCCAACTCTTGCCTTGGCTAATTCTCTTCTGTCTCTCTCTTCCGTCTCTTTTTCAGCATAACTACGCATTTATATAGAAAAATCCGGCTGGTTACAACTGCACCTTGGCCCTACTACTGCGCACATGATTATCACAGGGTTTTGGCTGTTTCAACCAAAATCATGTGAATTCTAAAGGTCCTCCTTGCTTACTCAGCTCTATTCCAAGTTTTAATCAATAAAAATTATTTCGATCATTTCCATTTTCTGCTAATGACCCAGTTCTAATGGGTACAGCTCCTGCCCGAGATCAGATTTCAACATCAGTAAAGAAAAATGCCCTGATCTAATTTCGCTGTTCAAATCCACTCCAATTTCACTAAAAAAATATATAACGTGTGTGTGTGTGTGTGTGTGTGTGTGTTTCCCAGAATCTCTCTGTCACAGATACCAGAATCAAGAGATACCTACAGAATGCCGGAGATCACGACGGCCTGAACGTTGGGATAACAGCAAGGATATTCGTTCGACTGTCAATAATGTACCTAAGGTGTAGAACTATTTGAGAAACAAACTCTTAACGCTGAAGGGCCAGGCTATTTGACCCGACTCTCCCAAACCGTGGATATCTCTCTGTGTGTGTGCATGAATGTGCCACTTGGGTTTCTTTCTTCTTTCTACATCTTGTTAACTTCCGGTTCGAACTACACCTGAAGAATGCCGAAGGGCACGATGTCCGAAACGTTGTTATAATGACGGCTGTAAATTCAAAGAAATACGTTTTTATTTGTGAGGAAAATGTTTTAGGACCGAAGTAGAAACGTTGATGCATTGGACTACTTGACCAGTTAACCAAAATGTGTGCGGGTCTGCTTTTGCGCATGCGTGGAATTGAGTCAGCCGCAACTTTGTGAATGTGTGTTTATAAGCATGCGTATACCGTGATGTCAAATAGTGACCCGAAATCCTTTAAATTTCCTTTTAGTTGACAGAGAGCAGGTCGGTTGAAAATAGAATAGAATAAACTTTCCTATGTACCCCATTCACCCGCTTATCCTGAATTCTAGCCATCATTCTGCAAGAATAACGAACACATGACAAATGTGATCGATTATATTTTCGACAGGAAGAGATCGATTTTTATGTCAATTACTTATTGACTGGGGTTTTTCTCTTCTTTTTTTTTCGCTTTTGTTCTTTTCGATTTACTTCCTGTCTGGTTGGTGAATGTTTTTTTGTTTTTTTTTTCAGATCTCGGGAAAGATGGATTATTATTATTATTATTATTATTATTATTATTCATTTCTTTCATCGTTTTCGCTCAATTCCTTTATATTTCCCCTTTCGAGTCCTTTCTTTTCTTTTCGTTCCACCATTTTGAAATTTGATTTCTCTCTTTTCTTTTTCCTCTTCCCAATTCTTTGTCGGTTTTTTTTTGGGGGGGGGAGGTTGTTTTTTGTTTTTTGCATCTCTATTTCTTAGCTTTATCAACATTAGTCTTTTACTTCCTTTTTTATTCCTTCTTTTTTTCCTTTATGTTCGCTTTATTGAAATGTTTCGCTTACTCTTTCATTTCATATCTTTTCTGTATTTCTCTCTCTTTCTTTCTTTCTTTCTTTATATATTTATTTATTTCATTCTTTCTTTCTTTTTATCTTTCTTCGATCTTTCCTTTTTTTTCGTTCTATCCTTTCTTCTTTTTTCTTTTTTCTTTCTTTCTTCCTTTCTTTTTTCTTTCTTTCTTTCTTTCTTTTTTTTTCTTTCGTTCTTTCATTTTTAGTTCTCTCTTTCTTTCTTTGTTTCTTTCTTTCATTCTTTCTTTCTTTCTTTCTTTCTGTCATTCATTTTTAGTTCTTTCCTTCTTTCATTATTTCTTTCTTTCTTTCTTTCTTTCTTTCAGCCTTTCATTTTTAGTTCTCTCTTTCCTTCGTTCATTATTTCTTTCTTTCTTTCTTTCTTTCTTTCTTCATTCGTTCTTTCGTCCTTTCTTTCTTCGTTCTTTGTTTTTTTTTCTTTAGTTTGTTCTCTCTTTCTTTCGTTCAGACACACACTCATTCTGACACAACAACAAATACGAAAACACACACCCGAAACGAAAAGGCCCCCCATCCACCAGAGAACTGACATTTCTGACCACCTAACGAGAGAGGGCTTGGGAAGTTAAAATAAATGAAAATAGGGATAGAAATAAAAGGGGCCAATGAGCAAACACTCCCTAGCTAAAGAGAAGAGCGATCACTTAGACGTCACGCTAATTCCCATTTATAGGTTTGCTTACCTTCGTCTTTCACACTCAATATTTTTGTGATATCATTAATTTTTTTTCTTCTTTGTTCCTTTCTTTCATCCTTCCTTCCTTCCCTCTTTCCTTCCTTTTTCTTCCTTTATCCTCTTCCTTCATGTATTCTTTCTTTTTATTCTGATTTCATTTTTCAGTTTTAGGATCTTTTCCTCTTTGTACTTTCACTTTCACTCTCAGTGGTTTTGTCATCTGAATGTATTCTTTTTCCTTCCTTCCTTCCTTCCTTCCTTCCTTCCTTCCTTCCTTCCTTCCTTTAATTTCTTTCTTATTTATATTTTCATTTCTCTTTTTTCTCCTTCTTTTCTTTCTCTTAATTCTGATTTCATTAATTTCATTTTAGGACCTTTTTCTCTTTCTACTTTCACTTTCACTCTCAGTAGTTTTGTTATCTGAATGTATTCTTTTTCCTTCCTTCCTTCCTTTACTTTACTTTCGTTCTTACTTATTAATTTCATCATTTCTCTTCTCTCTTCTTCTTTTCTTTCGTCCGGGTTTGCTCACTGGTGATCTGCGTTCAAACCACCGTTTCGGCAACGCCACTTTGTTCCTTTGTTTCTCAAACACATTTTTTTTCTTTTTCCTTCTTGCACTTTTTCTTTTTTCCTTTTTGCCCTTTTTCTTTTGCCTTCTTGTTCTTTTCCTTTTTCATTCTTAATTTTTTTTCTCTAAATTTTTTTCTCTTTTCACTTTTCCTATTTTCACCTTTTTCTCATTTCTTTTGCTTTTACTTTCACATTAATTGTTATTTCATCAGATTATTTTGTCTTCCTTCTTCCTTCCTTATTTCCTTCTCTCTTTATATCTTTCTTATATTACTCCCTTCCTTTCTCCTTTCTTTTCTTTCTGCTTTCTTTAATTTCTTCTCTTTTTTTGCATTTTTCATCCCTCTTTTCTCATTTGCCATCACTTTTTTTTCTTTTTACTCTTTCACGCGTTTATCATTTATTTCATTTTTCATTTTTTCTTTCTCTAGATTTATCTTTCTTTTTTGCTTTCTCTTACATTCACAGTATTCTTTCATTTCATTCTATTTATCTCCTTCATTCGTTCCTTTGTTTTTTCTTTCTTTCTCTTGATCCTTTCATTTTTTTCGTTCTTTTCTTTTTGCTTTTAATCTCTTTCTTTATGGAAGTTGGCATCTTTACCTTCGTCTTTCACAGTCAATATTTTTGTGATGTCATTGGATTCTTTTTTCTTCTTTCTTCCTTCCTTTCATCCTTCCTTCCCTAACTTCCTTCCTGCCTTCCTTCCTTCCTTTTTTTTCTTCCTTTATCTTCTTCCTTCCTGTATTCTTTCTTTCTATTCTGATTTCATTTTTCAGTTTTAGGATCTTTTTCTCTTTGTACTTTCACTTTCACTCTCAGTGGTTTTGTCATCTGAATGTATTCTTTTTCCTTCCTTCCTTCCTTCCTTCCTTCCTTCCTTCCTTTACTTTACTTTCTTTCTTATTTATATTTTCATTTCTCTTTTCTCTTCTTCTTTTCTTTCTTTTAATTCTGATTTCATTAATTTCATTTTAGCATCTTTTTCTCTTTCTACTTTCACTTTCACTCTAAGTAGTTTTGTCATTTGAATGTATTCTTTTTCTTCTTCCTTCCTTCCTTCCTTCCGTATTTCCTTCCTTCCTTTACTGTATTTCTTACTTAGCTATTTCTTCATTTATCTTCCCTCTTCTGTTTTTTTTCTTTTTTATTATGATTTCATTAATTTAATTTTTCCATTTCAGCATCTTTTTCTCTTTATACTTTCACTTTCACTCTCATCCCTTTCGTCATTTGAATATATTCTTTTCTTTCTTCCTTCCTTTATTTCTTCCGTCCTTCTCAATTAATCAACAGTAACCCGTTCTTAATAAAATTTTCAAACAAGGCAAAAATATGCCATATAAACTTATGCTGATCAATCTATTTTTACTTGACACAGAAAAAATCGTTTTAGGCAAAATGAAAACACTGCTGAAATGTTATTAAATATCTAATCTCCCATCTAGCAGTGAACGATGGACAGATTCCACACAGATGAAAAAGCAAATCTAAACGAGAAATGTGCCCACTGACTTTTCTCCTACTCCCGTGTCTCTGCTTCAGTAACCAAACATTACATCATAGACTGCATTAACGACGGACAACTCAATTTTTTTTTATCTAACTTTATTTTATATTTGTTGTGGATTCCGGGATGAAATCCGGTCTCAAATGAATGACAAACGCAGGAATGAAATATAGCAAATAAATGTATTGACGTAATAATACAATTGGTAATACGGTTAGTAGATCCAGAAATGCGGTTAGTAGCAATAATAATATATATACAGTCTGGGAAATTCAGTATCGAAGTATGACTTCCTTCTGAATCTACGTGCTCGCAACTGTGACTCCTACAAAGCGGTTACCTCACACTATCACTTCCTCACTCTATCACTGTCACTCCCTGGGTATTCACCGGCAGCAGTACAAGTACACACTGGTCGAGTCTACTTATATGAAAAAGGGGTGGAACCCATAACAATATTATGTGAGACATTTCTACTAGCAATGTTTGTAGGAGGAAGGGTGGACATGTAGGTTGACTAAAATGTAATACGCCACGTGCTGCTTTACCTCACTAAGCACTCCGGGTGCGGCTGGCATGCTGGCCTTTATAATGTTTGCATCTATGCACATGTATTCGCGCCTTTTTGATTTTATGTAATAAAAAGAAGAGGCACGGTGGAGTAATGGATAGCGGCTCGGATTGAGGAATCGGAGAGCCGAGTTCGAATTCCAGTAGAATCCATTATTTTCACTTACGTGCTAATACCCTTGGGAAAGGTATGAATTCTATTCTTCTCCCCCAGCTATGGGAACAGACTGTGTTCTATTGTCTTGGGGGGCAACCAGTCTAGGAGAAGGAAAAATTCTGAATTTAAAGCCGGCCTGGAATTGGGTTGTTGGGCTCCGTCAGTCTATCTTACCCAAGAAACATCACGTCTACTGTGGCTGCAGTAAACATCGTAACCCTAAGACTATAGCAATGAAGATCTTGTCGGTATAAAATAACAATTGAGGATGATATGCCGTAAAATAAACCAAACCATTTTGATAAATTATGAATGTTTTGTATGATAAAGTTTATATATTGTTTTTAGCATTAACCGCTCAGTAAACCTTTTGAGATTAACAAAATGTGAACCTAACTGAATGTTAATACAGATTTAAATGTTAACTCAACATTGACTAATTTTGTAGGCAAAATGTATGTAGTTATCTCTGTTTGAAGAAAATTTATAATTACTACACAAAATAATGAAGGAGTTGCGGTCTTTGAATTAGGCGGCCAGATGTAATGGGTGATGTAGTTGCAGAAATTGTTTGACAGCTATGACTGCTGCACTATTTACATTATTCGGACTATTGTCCTCATCTTTGTCGCCATATTTATTACAACGTTTCGGTCTTTCAGTATCTGTCTATATTTCTGAGATGAGGAAATATGAAGATGAGGACAATATTCCGAATAATGTCGCCATATTTAATATAATAGTCCTTCATTTAAGAAATATTTCAGATCCTGAAGGGTCCGAATAATGTTGTAATAAATATGGCGACTCAAGATGGGGACAGATACTCCGAATAATGTAAATAAATGTACAAATAATAATGTAAATAGGTACATCTCAGAAATATAGACAGATACTGAAGGGCCGAAACGTTGTAATAAATATGGCGACAAAGATGGGGACAATAGTCCGAATAATGTAAATAGTGTACATAATACCTCATCTCAGAAATATAGACAGATAATGGGTTCTGCTGCTTGTGTGGCAGGGTGCAGAGTCCTCTTGCCAGACATAGCAGCCACCCTCTTGACCCAGGGCAGCACTGCCTCATCAAGGCATTTGATGTAGGCCACTGTGTTGCGTCTGAGACCCTGTGGGAAGATGAATGGAGGCATAACGTCGCCATCACTAATGATCACTCCAAATATAATGATGTCGACAGGATATATCATCCTACTCTTTCCGAATCCTCTGCACTGTCCTCATATTGACATCCAAACACTCTGGAATGTTCCTATTGGAGTTCCCGGCGCGAATGCCAAGCACAACAGCATGGCGCTCCCACATTTCTGGTGGAGTCATTCGCATCATGGTGCTCTTTTTTCTCACAGACGCTGCCCAAACGACTTTACTATACTGTGCAGTCGACAAAATCAAAAACAAACAACACGCATGCGCGAAATTGAAAATATAAAATGTCGATAATTTACCCATTACACCCTGTAGGCACTGGACCGCAGCGACGTTGATTAACCTCTGTGATCGTAAGGGGACTGCTGTTTCAACATGATGCGGCTATAAGCCATTTTCCCAGTAGAGATTACAATGATAAAAACGCATTTTAAATCCATGATGATAATAGCAAATTATGGATAGTCACGATTCCAACATTTTTATGCGGGATGGTCCAAGTTAATTATAATCTAGTTAGACAATACCAAATGAAACACACTCTTAATATCGCCAAACGCTGAAAAGTCATAAAGTTCTTGAGGCATGTGTAATTATTCATTGATTTAATTACCTTGAAATCTAATTGCGTTAAATTCTTCCTTTTTTTTGTTTTTGGCTTAAAAATTAATCATATTGACGATTTTATCAAGAGAGTCATTAGTTGAAATGAAAATCGCTTACGGATTCTGACCCGGTTCATCCGATGGAATCACCAATTTCAAAGTACCTGTCTCCGAAAATGTCTGTTAGAATTTGGAATTCAGAGGAATGCCTACAGAACGGGTCAATTTTAAACCGAAAACAAAATAAAATAAAACAAAAGCGTATATTCTTCTTCTTCTATGCGAAGTGTTTCTACAGGACGTTGGTGACTATGGCTCTCCACATTGTCCTCTGCACTTAATAAATTTTGCCTTTTTGTTTTCCCTCCCAAATCTTGTTCCGTCAGCCATTTACTCAAGATCGTTATATAGGTTATGTTGTTTTCCTCTGTACTTCTTGCCTTGATTATATCCTCTGTGTGTCAAATTTTCCAAGCCCTCTTTCCTCCTAAATTTCAACTGTCACTTTCCGATGTTGTGTCTTTCGATTTTCTACATGTTCCATGTTTGGTCCATGGTATTCCCAGTATCCTTCTGTAGAACCACATTTAAAATAACTGATATTGTGTAACAGTCCAGCATTTTTTCTTCGTTTCAGCTTCTTCAAGTCTCTTCTTCATCTGTGTGGAGTACGTCCAGCATTCTTTACCATATAGGAGGATTGATATTACGTCACAGTTCAGTGCTCTTTTCTTTGTTTCTGTTGCTTCAAGTCTCTTCTTCATCTGTGAAGAGATTGTTCAGCATTTACTGCCATATAGGAGGACTGATATTACGTAACAACTCAGTACTCTTTTCTTCGTTTATGTTGCTTCATGTCTCTTCTTCATCTCCGAGGAGATTGTCCAGCATTAACTGCCATATAGGACGACTGATATTACGTAACAGTTCAGTTCAATTTTCTTTGTTTCTGTTGCTTCAAGTCTCTTCTTCATCTGTGAGGAGATTGTCCAGCATTTTCTGCCATATAGGAGGACTGATATTACGTAACAGTTCAGTACTCTTTTCTTTGTTTCTGTTGCTTCAAGTCTCTTCTTCATCTATAAGGAGATTGTCCAGCATTTTCTGCCATATAGGAGGACTGATATTACGTAACAGTTTCGTCACACTTTTCTTCGTTTATGTTGCTTCAAGTCTCTTCTTCATCTGTGAGAGAGATTAACTGTCCTGATATTAGGTAACAGTTCAACTTTTCTTTTGCTGTTGCAAGTCATCTGTGAGGACGACTGATATTACGTAACAGTTTCGTCACACTTTTTTTGTTTCTGTTGCTTCAAGTCTCTTCTTCATCTGTGAGGAGATTGTCCAGCATTTTTCTACCATATAGGAGGACTGATATTACGTAACAGTTCAGTACTCTTTTTCTTTGTTTCTGTTGCTTCAAGTCTCTTCTTCATCTGTGAGGAGATTGTCCAGCATTTTCTGCCATATAGGAGGACTGATATTACGTAACAGTTTCGTCACACTTTTCTTCGTTTATGTTGCTTCAAGTCTCTTCTTCATCTGTGAGGAGATTGTCCAGCATTAACTGCCATAGGACGACTGATATTACGTAACAGTTCATTTCAATTTTCTTTGTTTCTGTTGCTTCAAGTCTCTTCTTCATCTGTGAGGAGATTGTCCAGCATTCACTACCA